TGTAGCCTACAGCCCTGTGGGGGAGAGGCAGCTGCACCTCCAGAGAGTCTATTCTTGACGTTGGAAAACAATTCCGGCTCAGTCCAGTGAGTGATGCTATGCTATCTGTGTGTCCAGTGATACTCTGGCTGTTTGGGGTTTCTGTACATGATGAGTCTGTTGTTGTTTTTCCTCCCTGCTTCAATAAGATATAACATTAAAATGCATTTATCTTCCCATGATGCACTGGGACACATGATCAATAAGGCTGCTGTAAGAACAGACAGCGCCACCTAGCTGCAAGAGTGAAGGCACAGCTGGGATAAATAGGTATAAATAGGACTTACAGTATGTACATGTAATAAGTTAGTAACTAGCTAACACACACACACACACACACACACGCACATACACACGAACACACCGTTTAAACTCCTCCCCCCCAGATTTCAGATTGTTTTTATCGTCTGTCAGCTCTTTGTTTGTTCAGCAACTTTAATGTTTCAGTTTATTTTCAGTGTGACTCGAGTTTCACGTTAGTCATTATTGTTTTTCATTCTCATAAAAAATGCACAGATTCCTTCGTCTGCTCTTGAGGAAGCTAGCTAACAACTTAGCTACATCATTAGCTTGTAAACTACATGTTGAGGCAGCTGGTGAGGTGGCTCTCCAGGTAAAATCCCACCTGCATCGAGGTAATTGTTAAAGTCCAGTTCAGACCAAAGATTGGTGACAAGACGAAACCATTTAAGAACGTCACAGAGAAAAGTGTCAGCAGTGTGAACTGGTCGGTCTGAGCTCAACTCAAGCCGGCTGATGGTGTCACCTGACACTCAGCTGGTCAAATGGCCAGTGACTGGTTTTAAAGCATGTCATCTGTTTCGGCAGCCAATCAGCTTGTAGTGAAGTCTGCTGGTCAAGTCAAAATGACCTCAGACGGCGTGTTGGCTTGCTGCAGCAGGTGCTCCGTCCCCACAGAGCCCTCTGTTTCTGTCCTCACGGTGTGCCGGTGTCAGACGGTGGGTCGATGCTGTCAACGTTACAGATCAGAAGCACAGAAAGTTGTTGACTAGAGATGATACGCCGTCTCATGGTGGTCACTTCCTGTCAACGTTACAGATCAGAAGCACAGAGAGTCGTTGACTAGAGATGATACGCCGTCTCATGGCGGTCACTTCCTGTCAACGTTACAGATCAGAAGCACAGAGAGTCGTTGACTAGAGATGATACGCCGTCTCATGGCGGTCACTTCCTGTCAACGTTACAGATCAGAAGCACAGAGAGTCGTTGACTAGAGATGATACGCCGTCTCATGGCGGTCACTTCCTGTCAACGTTACAGATCAGAAGCACAGAGAGTCGTTGACTAGAGATGATACGCCGTCTCATGGCGGTCACTTCCTGTCAACGTTACAGATCAGAAGCACAGAGAGTCGTTGACTAGAGATGATACGCCGTCTCATGGCGGTCACTTCCTGTCAACGTTACAGATCAGAAGCACAGAGAGTCGTTGACTAGAGATGATACGCCGTCTCATGGCGGTCACTTCCTGTCAACGTTACAGATCAGAAGCACAGAGAGTCGTTGACTAGAGATGATACGCCGTCTCATGGCGGTCACTTCCTGTCAACGTTACAGATCAGAAGCACAGAGAGTCGTTGACTAGAGATGATACGCCGTCTCATGGCGGTCACTTCCTGTCAACGTTACAGATCAGAAGCACAGAGAGTCGTTGACTAGAGATGATACGCCGTCTCATGGCGGTCACTTCCTGTCAACGTTACAGATCAGAAGCACAGAGAGTCGTTGACTAGAGATGATACGCCGTCTCATGGCGGTCACTTCCTGTCAACGTTACAGATCAGAAGCACAGAGAGTCGTTGACTAGAGATGATACGCCGTCTCATGGCGGTCACTTCCTGTCAACGTTACAGATCAGAAGCACAGAGAGTCGTTGACTAGAGATGATACGCCGTCTCATGGCGGTCACTTCCTGTCAACGTTACAGATCAGAAGCACAGAGAGTCGTTGACTAGAGATGATACGCCGTCTCATGGCGGTCACTTCCTGTCAACGTTACAGATCAGAAGCACAGAGAGTCGTTGACTAGAGATGATACGCCGTCTCATGGCGGTCACTTCCTGTCAACGTTACAGATCAGAAGCACAGAGAGTCGTTGACTAGAGATGATACGCCGTCTCATGGCGGTCACTTCCTGTCAACGTTACAGATCAGAAGCACAGAGAGTCGTTGACTAGAGATGATACGCCGTCTCATGGCGGTCACTTCCTGTCAACGTTACAGATCAGAAGCACAGAGAGTCGTTGACTAGAGATGATACGCCGTCTCATGGCGGTCACTTCCTGTCAACGTTACAGATCAGAAGCACAGAGAGTCGTTGACTAGAGATGATACGCCGTCTCATGGCGGTCACTTCCTGTCAACGTTACAGATCAGAAGCACAGAGAGTCGTTGACTAGAGATGATACGCCGTCTCATGGCGGTCACTTCCTGTCAACGTTACAGATCAGAAGCACAGAGAGTCGTTGACTAGAGATGATACGCCGTCTCATGGCGGTCACTTCCTGTCAACGTTACAGATCAGAAGCACAGAGAGTCGTTGACTAGAGATGATACGCCGTCTCATGGCGGTCACTTCCTGTCAACGTTACAGATCAGAAGCACAGAGAGTCGTTGACTAGAGATGATACGCCGTCTCATGGCGGTCACTTCCTGTCAACGTTACAGATCAGAAGCACAGAGAGTCGTTGACTAGAGATGATACGCCGTCTCATGGCGGTCACTTCCTGTCAACGTTACAGATCAGAAGCACAGAGAGTCGTTGACTAGAGATGATACGCCGTCTCATGGCGGTCACTTCCTGTCAACGTTACAGATCAGAAGCACAGAGAGTCGTTGACTAGAGATGATACGCCGTCTCATGGCGGTCACTTCCTGTCAACGTTACAGATCAGAAGCACAGAGAGTCGTTGACTAGAGATGATACGCCGTCTCATGGCGGTCACTTCCTGTCAACGTTACAGATCAGAAGCACAGAGAGTCGTTGACTAGAGATGATACGCCGTCTCATGGCGGTCACTTCCTGTCAACGTTACAGATCAGAAGCACAGAGAGTCGTTGACTAGAGATGATACGCCGTCTCATGGCGGTCACTTCCTGTCAACGTTACAGATCAGAAGCACAGAGAGTCGTTGACTAGAGATGATACGCCGTCTCATGGCGGTCACTTCCTGTCAACGTTACAGATCAGAAGCACAGAGAGTCGTTGACTAGAGATGATACGCCGTCTCATGGCGGTCACTTCCTGTCAACGTTACAGATCAGAAGCACAGAGAGTCGTTGACTAGAGATGATACGCCGTCTCATGGCGGTCACTTCCTGTCAACGTTACAGATCAGAAGCACAGAGAGTCGTTGACTAGAGATGATACGCCGTCTCATGGCGGTCACTTCCTGTCAACGTTACAGATCAGAAGCACAGAGAGTCGTTGACTAGAGATGATACGCCGTCTCATGGCGGTCACTTCCTGTCAACGTTACAGATCAGAAGCACAGAGAGTCGTTGACTAGAGATGATACGCCGTCTCATGGCGGTCACTTCCTGTCAACGTTACAGATCAGAAGCACAGAGAGTCGTTGACTAGAGATGATACGCCGTCTCATGGCGGTCACTTCCTGTCAACGTTACAGATCAGAAGCACAGAGAGTCGTTGACTAGAGATGATACGCCGTCTCATGGCGGTCACTTCCTGTCAACGTTACAGATCAGAAGCACAGAGAGTCGTTGACTAGAGATGATACGCCGTCTCATGGCGGTCACTTCCTGTCAACGTTACAGATCAGAAGCACAGAGAGTCGTTGACTAGAGATGATACGCCGTCTCATGGCGGTCACTTCCTGTCAACGTTACAGATCAGAAGCACAGAGAGTCGTTGACTAGAGATGATACGCCGTCTCATGGCGGTCACTTCCTGTCAACGTTACAGATCAGAAGCACAGAGAGTCGTTGACTAGAGATGATACGCCGTCTCATGGCGGTCACTTCCTGTCAACGTTACAGATCAGAAGCACAGAGAGTCGTTGACTAGAGATGATACGCCGTCTCATGGCGGTCACTTCCTGTCAACGTTACAGATCAGAAGCACAGAGAGTCGTTGACTAGAGATGATACGCCGTCTCATGGCGGTCACTTCCTGTCAACGTTACAGATCAGAAGCACAGAGAGTCGTTGACTAGAGATGATACGCCGTCTCATGGCGGTCACTTCCTGTCAACGTTACAGATCAGAAGCACAGAGAGTCGTTGACTAGAGATGATACGCCGTCTCATGGCGGTCACTTCCTGTCAACGTTACAGATCAGAAGCACAGAGAGTCGTTGACTAGAGATGATACGCCGTCTCATGGCGGTCACTTCCTGTCAACGTTACAGATCAGAAGCACAGAGAGTCGTTGACTAGAGATGATACGCCGTCTCATGGCGGTCACTTCCTGTCAACGTTACAGATCAGAAGCACAGAGAGTCGTTGACTAGAGATGATACGCCGTCTCATGGCGGTCACTTCCTGTCAACGTTACAGATCAGAAGCACAGAGAGTCGTTGACTAGAGATGATACGCCGTCTCATGGCGGTCACTTCCTGTCAACGTTACAGATCAGAAGCACAGAGAGTCGTTGACTAGAGATGATACGCCGTCTCATGGCGGTCACTTCCTGTCAACGTTACAGATCAGAAGCACAGAGAGTCGTTGACTAGAGATGATACGCCGTCTCATGGCGGTCACTTCCTGTCAACGTTACAGATCAGAAGCACAGAGAGTCGTTGACTAGAGATGATACGCCGTCTCATGGCGGTCACTTCCTGTCAACGTTACAGATCAGAAGCACAGAGAGTTGTTGACTAGAGATGATACGCCGTCTCATGGTGGTCACTTCCTGTCAGCGTTACAGATCAGAAGCACAGAGAGTCGTTGACTAGAGATGATACGCCATCTCATGGTGGTCACTTCCTGTCAGCGTTACAGATCAGAAGCACAGAGAGTCGTTGACTAGAGATGATACGCCATCTCATGGTGGTCACTTCCTGTGAACCAGCAGGTTCTTACAACATTGCAGAACGGAGCCTTGACAGTACTCGCCTGTTTCAACTTGTCCTGTTGTGAATCTTTGGTCTGAACTGGGCTTTAGAAACCGAGTCTATATGTGAAGTCGGTCTTACAATCCTTTCCTGTCTGAACTGTCAATTACTTAATTTCCCATCAAACACATCGTTGTCGAATCAGAAGATGGACGTGACCTCTGTAGCTCTATGGTAGCACAACTGTCTCCGTAGCATCACTGGGCTAAACTCCATCCTTCTTCACGCCAAGACTCTGTTGTGTGCTGATTGGCTGATAAATGAAACTTCAGCACTTGTCAGGTCTGATCAAAATGTACTCTTAAACCTGAGAACCCTGGTGAGTCAATCTGGACTGAGGAAGACTGGGAAGAATGGGAACCAGTGTGGGTCTGGTCCTGAGGTCGTCAGGGGTTGAGGTCACCAGAGAAGCTCCAGGCTGAGGGTTTAGTTTGAGATGTTAGCTTTACAAACTGGAGTCACACTGAAAATGTGATTTGAGAAACACTCCCTGATTCACTTATTGCGTTAATATAAACTGGTTAAAGCTCCTGATGCAGAGTCGTGCTGGTTTCAGTCGTACAAGCAAAAAATATCGTGGATAAAAAATGTCCAGCATGTCTGAGATCAGCAGGTCGATAATCGATACACATGATCAGTATAGAAACTATTACAATTGTGCTTTTGGGCTCCACAGACAGCCGGACAGCAGGGAATCCTGGGAAATGTAGTGCAAGTCAGCAGGTCTTGATGATGCTCTTTGATCTGATTGGTTAGATTGTCGTTTTTTTCACTGCCGGCAGGTGTGAGGTCATCCACCGCCAGGTTCAGGTTTAGTTCAGGTTTACTCTGAGTGCTGCTGTGGAGCGTAGGAATCTAAAGAACTGGGATCTCCTGAGTCTGACTATAAAAACCTCGTATATCCCCGATACACATACACACACGCACGCACGCACGCACGCACACACACACACACACACACACACAGCAGGAAGACACAGTGTTAACAAGAGTCCATGAATTCCAGAATTTCAGTCTCTCATTATCCTCCTCTTCCTCAGTGGGAGCTCCGAGTGTCTTCAGGGTCACTGGGTTGGAGGTCATCAGAGGTCATCAGAGGTCAGTGACCTTGTTCTCCACCAGGGCGGCGACCTGCTGCAGCCGATAGGCCAACTGCATCTTCTGACCTGAACTGTCCTCCTCCAGAGACATGATGATCTGAGAGACAGGTGAGACAGGTGAGACAGAGACAGGTACAGAGGGAGACAGGTGGATTCAGGTGTTGAATGTTTGTAGTTTTTCTACAGTTTGAGATGTTTTTCTTTTCTCTCAGACTTGTTACTGTGTTCGGCCTTCGATCACACAGAAAGAGTTTTGCAGGTTACAAAACGTGAGGCGCACTGCACTGCCTTATTTAAAAAAATCGAATGTCACTAGTGAAAAAAACGTTTGCTGCACCTTGTTATTGTTGCCAGGCAACCACCCCATCACCTCCTCACCCTAACCTTCCTGTGTGATCAGTCTACAGTTTGTGTATCCTGCAGTAATCAGTGTGTAGCTGCTGCCATGTTGAGGCAGAGGGTGCTGTCTGTAGCTCTGGTTGAGGGTGAGAGGCTGTCAGCAGATAAACAGAGATCTGTGTGGGTACATGAGACCCTAAAAAAGAGGCTGGATCATGGGGAGTACCACCAGTTGGTCCAGGAGCTTCTCCTCCATCATTTACGTTTACAGTACTGCACTTATCTGCTGTTTTCTATTCAGATGCTGCTAACTGTGCTTTGTAAAGTCGTATAGCTCTGGGTATCCAGCAACCACTACCACCAGTTTCTCCTCCATTGGTTACCAACTGTAAACTGGTTGTTGTGACCACCACAGAAGCCCCGCCTCTCACATCATCCCATTGGACAATGAGGAAAAAGCTGAGATGATGTGTGGCCTTTTTACTGCTCTGACTTGAAGTTCAGAGTTCTGCAGCAGAAACGCCAGGCGCCTAGAGCGCATAAACACGAGGCATGTAGCAACGCAAAAACAGCAAGCAAAAAGTTTAATTCTCATTAAAAACTGTTACAAAAAGCCGCCTCCAGCTGCTGAAATGCTTTGTGGGTGATCTGCCTGTCTGCCTGAAAACTCCTCCTCTCTCTCCGAACAGTATTTTACCTTGGGAGCTCTCTTAAGGGCTGAGACGCTCTGTGAATAACTTTTATCTTGACCAACAACTAGTCTTAACTTTAAGATTAAATTCGACTTTTCTACTAGGACTAGGAGCAACTCTGTGTACTGTGAAGCTTTAATACGGCCCCAGAAGTTAAGAGACAACACAGGAAGTGGAACTAACGAAATAAGTGACATCAAACGTGTGTGTGTGTGTGTGTGTGTGTGTGTGTGTGTGTGTTACCTGGTCGTAATATTTGTTGATGTACTTGTAGAGTTCATGAAGAGCAACAAGACTGTTCATCTCTGAGGCAAAACTCTGCAGACAGACAGACAGACAGACAGACAGTATGAAGTTTAACTTCAGTTGTTTCCTTCTGTGTGTACTGTACATGTGTATTTCGGTCAAACCAGTAGTTTAGTTGTGTTCACTGACCCCGGACAATTCAGTCAGAGTGGAGTTCATCTCCTGATAACAGCCTGATGCAGCACTGTGGATATCACTGTAATACCTGCACACACACACACACACACACATTAGGATGCGTTTACAATAACAGTGTTGCTAAAGTTTGTGTGTTTCAGTGGTGACCGTAACTGTACATTATCTCTGACAGGAAGTTGTCTCACCTCTCCACCAGCTGTTTGTAGCGGGGGATCTCTCTGGCGTACAGCAGCTTGTTGACAGGAGAGTCCTGGTTGGACAGAAAGTTACCATGAGGTCACATGACTAAACCGCACAGCGCTGATGATAGTAAACACAGAGACAGACAGAGAGGCAGAGAGACAGACAGGTCATACCCGTCCCACTTTGTGCTCGGAGGTGGTGCAGGAGTCGATGAAGGTCTGAGCGATGACGGATAGAACGGCGTCGATGCTGTCGGTTACCTGTACATCCAAAACAAATTGAGGGTTCTTCAAGATGTTCACCCAGAACCTGAGAGGGAGACTGCAGAGACAGAGACGGGTTAGAGGGACAGGTCAGAGAGACAGACGGGTGTCCATGTGTGTCTTTGTACCTGTTAGTCTTCCAGATGTGGACAGTCTCTGGGTCGTCGATGCCGTGTTTTTCAGCCATGTCGTCCAGGAAGTCAAAGAAGAATCTGACGGCGATTGGAGGAGGACGCTTCGTACTGAGGATCGCCACGAAGACATCTTCCACAAACTTTTGCAGCGTCCCCTACAGAGAGACGGACAGGTACAGAGACAGAGACTGGTCAGGTTAATCTCAGGTGTGTTTATGTGTGTGTGTGTGTGTGTGTGTGTGTTACCTTCATGGACAACAGTCTGGTCAGGTAAATCTCAGGTATGGCCTTGGCCCTCTCCCGCTCCCTCATGCTGCTCTTTCTGTGTTTTGGGATCTCCGGATCTTCACTGCTCTTCACCAGGTGCCACAGACGCAGACCCTCCTCCTCCTCGCCCTCTAGCATTGGCGTTTCTATGGCAACCACACACAGAATGTTACCAGGATGACGACCAACACAGGGGAACCCTGGTATCTGACAAAACTACAGAGGTGTTGGTTCTACATGGTTGTCTTTGTGTTGGTTCTGGCTTCTAGATGTTCTTGGGCCTGGTGTCTTGGTGTTGTAAAGGTTCTATAAGGTTATGTTTGTGCTGGTTTGGGCTCTAGACGTACTAGATGGTTCTCCTAACACTGATTGTGGGTTCTAAACAAATTCTAGATATTCTAAATGTTACATACAGTTTAGATACTCCTTCGGGATTCTAAATGTGCTTGATGGTTCTCTTTGAGTTGGTACTGGGTTGTGGACGCTCTATGTGTTGGTTCGCAATTTTAAAAGTTCTAGGTGACACTTTTTGTGTTGGGTCTAGGTTCTATGTGTTGTTACTATCCTAAATGTTCTACATGGTCATACGGTTTATTTGTTAAAGGATCTATGTGGTATAAATTGTTCTCTGTGTTTTCATCACACAATGTATATGCAAGTTGGTTCTGGGTTCCAGATGTTCAAGATGGTTCTTTTTGTGTTGGGTTCTGGATATTCTACATGTTGTAGATGTTCCAGAGGTTCTAGATGTTTTGTTTGTTTTGGGTCCAGGTGTTCTAGATGACCCTCTGTGAGTATGACCAGGTCCCACATGGTCTAGTTTGTGTTTTGTCTGGGTTCTAGATGGTCTAGATGATTCTCTATTAGTATGACCAGGTTCTATGTGGTTTTCTTTGTGTTGTGTCTGGGTTCTAGATATTCTAGATGATTCTCTATGGGTATGGCCAGGTTCTAAGTAGTCTTTTTTGTGTTGGGTCTAGGTTCTAGATGTTCTAGATGACCCTCTGTGAGTATGACCAGGTTCCACCTGGTCTAGTTTGTTTTGTCTGGGTTCTACGTGACTCTCCATGTTTTATTCCAGGGTTCTATATGGTCTTTTTTGCTTTGGTTCTGGATCATAGATGTTGTTTTTTGTGTTCTCTTCATGTTCTACATGGTTCTCTCTGAGCTGACTCTGGGTTTCAGATGTTCTTGATATATTAGATGTTCTACATATTCTAGATGTTTGACATGGTTCTCTAAGTGTTGTCTATGGATGCAGAGATAGTTCTCTTTGTGTTGATCAGTTCTAGATTCTATATGATTTTCTTTCTGTAGTTTTAGTTTGTAGATGTTCTTCATGAGAGTCCTTGAATTGGATCTGGGTTCTAGATGATCTCCATAATTCTCCATGTCTTTTCTGGGTTCTTTAAAATCATCTTTGTTTTGGTACTGGGTTCTACATTTTCTCGGATGTTCTTTTTGTTTGGTTTTGGATCTAGATTTTTCTCCCTATGATTCTCTCTGCACTGGCTCTGGGTTTCAGATGTTCTAGATTCCTGATATTTTCTCCAAATGTTATAGATAT